ATCGATCTCGGCACCGTCATTAGAATGTAGGGCATTCGCGGCGTTACCACCATATATCATACTGACTCGTGGCTCGTTACCTGGCTTTGTATGACAGCATTAATTTCGGTGTATGGTCGTCAGGACACGGGGGGGGGGACTGGTCATTCTGTCATAAGTCATACTGACTGGAGCAGCACGCGACACGGCTCGTTAACGTGCTGTGTATGACAGACATCCACCCCGGCATGCCTTCGTCGGGACACGGGACCTTTACGCGGTGAGACGGTACATTCCATCCTCTGTCATACTGACTCGAGCAGCACGCGACACGGCTCGTTAACGTGCTGTGTATGACAGACATCCACCCCGGCATGCCTTCGTCGGGACACGGGACCTTTACGCGGTGAGACGGTACATTCCATCCTCTGTCATACTGACTCGAGCAGCCTGCAACACGGCTCGTTAACGTGCTATGTATGACAGACATCCACCCCGGCATGCCTTCGTCGGGACACGGGACCTTTACGCGGTGAGACGGTACATTCCATCCTTTGTCATACTGACTGGAGCAGCACGCGACACGGCTCATTAACGTGTTGTGTATGACAGGTATTCACCCCGGCATGCCGTTGTAGGGACACGGGAATGATACGTTACAGTATACTGACCTAGACAAGACATGGCACGGCTTGTTGCCATGCGATATATGACAGGAATCAGTTCCGGCGTATCGTAGTCGGAACGTGAAATGTATAGTAGGAGATCAATTACTCGATCATAATACATACCGACTTAGTTACAGCGCAGATAGTTTGCCGTCCTATGTACGACAGGCATAGATAATGGCATGACACCATGATACTAGCAATTGTCACCACAATTGTTGTGCATGCATAGTTCAATCGTTACTACCTGTATGACGAGTGACATTGTCAAAAGTGTCACAGATGGCGGCGTACAGTGTGCTATAACTACATGTGCACAGCCATGGTACTATGTATGGATGGTCAAAGGGTTGCTTGCGCAGTTCATGCCGCTCAGTGATACTGGTCGTCTTCGTTTTATCTCATTTAGCACACCTCAGCAGTTTGGGTTTGTCATACGCATCACGCTTTCTTGCCTCACTTCCTTGTTAACATTGTTTGTCATACAGTGGCTGCCCTACGTTTACTTGGGTCAACAGAATAACCAACCACCCCGACAACTGCACGTGTCAACATTGTGCTCACACTCTTTGGCAATTGACGCTCGTGTCGGACCCAACTGTCCCGATGGCGAGCTCGAATGCGTGCCATCAGCGGGTGGATACTGGGTTTACAATGGTGAGCTGTGGATTCCATACTCTACTTCACTACGATGACCGCTCACCTTCAGGCTTCCCAGTCTATCCAACGAGCGAACAGGATCGCAGTCATCGGAGCAGAGGTGCGTCCACATTCTGCTGATTTGCCTACTTCTGCTAATCTTTCACTTGCGGCTTAGCTCCCATACCGACACTTATGCCCTGGTCCACGAACATCGTAAGTACATTCCATACTGAGAAGTGGTTCATCTTCCTGTTTATCGTATGCTGATGCAAATGCTAGAAATGCCCCGCGTACCTTTTTGAGCACCAATCAATGTATCGATCAGTGCACATCCTCGGTATTGAAGAGACGGACTGCATTGAAAAAGTGCGTATTTACGTTTATAAAGTTTGTACTATCCATACTGAATGACAGGCTCGATTCACAAGTTTATTGGCGAGGCTTTTTTTTGTGAACAGGCAACGGTGCCTGCAGCTAGGGACGCATAGGCAGGTGTCCCCATTCGGCATTCTCTCCAGCCTCTGTCGCTATGAAAAAGACTCGCACCAACCCCGGTCAACACCAGCAAAGTCCGCCCCATCGTGCGGCGTGCTCACACCCCCATCCTCGTTAACAAGCCCTATCCGTCCGGTATCACCTTCAACCTTTGTGCGACAGGGTTAGTACAATAGTTTATTCCAAGCATAACAATAAAATACGATATCATGATACGGCGATGAAGTAATGTACAGTGAGGCACTCTGAGCTCGCAATCCGTCGGCGCGTCGGACAAGCTCATAGCTTGAGTGATTCTTCTTCAGATGCATCGGACCCCGGCAAGTCTTCCTCATGTCCTAGCCCACGGGTAGCGTTGAGAACCGTGCTAGCGATCATCGGAACAACAGACTTGTGCGTACCTTTGTTTTTTCGATCTTTCCTTTCTTGAGCGTGTTTGCGCTTCTTCACGAAGACTTTTGGATTATCAATAAGAAGCTATCGATGTATGGTAAAAACGGAGACGTACCTATCATGGCTGCATCCATTTCACACGAGTCAGGAATCAGGATTGGCTCGAGCTCAGCGACCCATTTTTGACCCAAGCCATGGACCTTCAGCGGCGGAAACCATAACTTGGCGAAGGCCTTCGCAAGGGCTCGGAGGATGTTGGCTTGGCGGGACGCATAGGCAACTAGACCACGAGCTAATCAGCAATTATTTTTGACTTCTGAGTCCTCGCTCTTGTAGCGGCGCATTCCTTGAGCCTCCCACCAATCGGCTTTAGCGAGGAAATAAGTCAAGACGCGCCGCATTTCCTCTACCAGAAGGCAAATTTCCTCCTCGTGTCTCCGGGTCCTGGCACGCTGACGCGCCCACTCACTTCGCATGTGCAAATCCATGGCACGGCTGTTGGCTGCTTCGTTCTCTTCGAAGTCAGCGTGGTCAGTGGAGTAGTCGGTTATGGACACAGTCCAGATCCAGGATGGAATTCGATGGGTCTCCGATGGCTGCTCTTTGGAGTAGGCATTGTTGTCATGACGTTGGGGGCCACAAAGATCGTCGCGGCGTAATTCCCGAAAGTGTAAGGACCACAAGCCGCGTGGGTCTAGGGATTGCATCGCGGCGTAGGCAGAGCCATACGTTTCAAAGGCGCGGTTGAGCTTTGCAGCTACCGTGTCCATGAGGGACCGGGACCTCGTCCCCTCCCTTTGACCTACACCAGGTCAGACAATTAAAGGTATTAATCAATGATAGTGACTTACTGCCGGCGGTATGTTTCATTTTCTGCCTGACTGACACGACGAGCCGCTGAAAGCGCCGGACGTTGACCAGGCTATCTTTCAACAAGGCTTCAGCGTAGCGCTGTTCGGTGTCGACGATCCCCGGGAGACATCCCTTGCTGCGCAAGCCGGCCTTGAGGTCCGAAGGGAGCAGAAGCGGGAGGTTCTCTGCATTGATTGCATCGCCTGAATTGACTATGTCGTCACCCAGTCGAGATGTCCGCTCTTCGACGCAACCGGGCATGTAAATGCTCTGGATCTCGTAGAATTCGAAGACCCGCCGACGGAACGCCGCTCGTCGCTCCTGCAGAGTAGCCTTCGCTGCTTCAGTGGCATTGACCTTCGTATTCGCCGCATGCTGGCGGAGTTTGCGGCTAGTCCCTCGGATTAGAATGGGGCGTATTCCGTCTGGAACATCTGAGAAGTCTTACCGCTGATCGATGAGGCTAAAGGCTTGATGGATGAACACGTTCCCAGAGATCGTGTGCAGCACCGTTGCGTCGGGTTGACGGGCCTCATCTGCGTCTTCTTTGGCAAGCTCACTGCGCAATTTATTGACATTGACCGCTAAATGAGCACGAGTGAGTGTAATCAAACCATAGATTAGTGTCCAGTGAAAATCCACCTTGCTCAATCTCCTCGTAGGGATTCGGCTGTTTCGCATCTAATTCCCAGCGGGATATCATCGACTCCCATTCTCGGATAGTCTCTGTTGAGAAACGCTCCGTGAATTCGGAAAGAACTTCTTGGTGTGTTTGCAGCTCGTCCACGGTATTTGTGAGCGCCCGGTAGAACAAATCCCCTAGCAAGTCTGAGTGAAGAGAATATAAACACAATACAATCGACGTACCGAACCCTACGATCTTGCGGAAGTTCCAGAAGGTCCAATGGTCGTTGAGTGTGTGGTGCCGGGCTGACGGGCCCATATCGCGAGTCATGGTTGCGACTCCGCCAATGTGGGCCCATTCCTGCTCAACAGTCTCGGCATGGGTCAGCCCTACATGCTCGTGCAAGAGGAAGTAGAACTCCGTTTGACATTTTAACTTGTGCCCGCGAATATGGAAATTGGGAATGAAGAAGCGAATCGCGATGATGGATAGTGCCGAGTAGGCGACAGGAAGCTTCGATTGTCGGCGCCGGAGGTTTTGCTTCCATTGGCATGCAATGTCGTAGCTCGCGACGACAGGCAGTAACGCCCCAACCAAAAGAAGGCTCAACCAGAATATCCAATCCATGGTGACATATCTATGATGGATCAGCACCAGACGTGTAAATGGCATTGTTTGGGACGTACTTCTCGCCGCGCTGGAGATCTGCGACACCGTTCGGCATCATCAACGCGTGCCTTGCGCATTTGACAGCGGCAACCCCTGAAACGGACATAATGTCACCTGGTGCCTTCTGGCTATTACCGGCTTTGATTGCACTGAACGTGGAGTCGCAAGGATCCAGTTTCTACATTCCACAATCAGCATGATTCCAACATCCGCATTTCCGCTCACCTCAGGCTCTTCGACATATCGCTCAAGATGCGCCTGATAATCTACCTCGTCTACAAAATACCCCGTGCCCCTTCCAAGCTCGGGGTCGTCGATTTTCCTATCCCTGTTCTTCAACTTGAAGCAAGCATCCAGCGCAAGGAATAACGCATACAGCCATCTGCAGCAGAATCAGCAATAGTCATGTCATCCACGGAATTACTCAATTGATCTCCGGTGGGCTGCTGTCCCAGCCCTCTGGTAGATTCCAGCCTGGTTGCGGGCACGCCGGGCAGCGAAGCGTGAGGCCGCCTCGTGGTGTGCCTTGAATACCCAATGGATCGTGCCCGCGGCCCATCCGCTTGGTTTCCATGAGGTGAGCGTACTGGCGTGTGGCTAGAGCCGCCTCATGATATCGGTACTGTAGCCAATGATGAGTAACGTACATAGCATGCACGAAGATAATACATACGATTCGTCCTTGGAGACCCGCGTTGTCGGTCTTGTGCACGACCAACAAGTAGTAGTCATGAAGAGATATCTTGCCTTGAAGTGTGAGCCGATGAAATGTATCGAGAAATCGGAAGGTAAACGCAGTCTGTGGTTGTAGCACAGACGCCGGGTACCATCCAATATCGAGCAGCTGGTCCCTTTGAGAACGTGTTTCGGGCAGCTTGCAGTCACAGTAGAGAACGTTCACCAGGTGGTATCCCTCGGAGTCGAATATCAGAAAGTTCGCGTGTCCTTTAACGGAATTACAGCAAGGTTTGCCGTCGGGGTGCCCAAGTTGCACCTTGAGTCCGAGGTCTTGGAGGGACACCGACTGAAAGCATCCGCCAGCCCACATCTAAAAAATTATCAACGATAACATTTGTGAGGATGACAGGCGATGTATGTCACGTGTCGGATCTTGGGCCATAACCGGGCCAAGTACGATAGCTCCGGTCGTTCCGGGTTGTCCGCCATCGGAGTAGCAGCTCCGGTACCGGACCTACGTTATCACATGAATAGTCCTCCGGCGACTCAACGTCCCGGTAGTTCTCGAGTCATAACGGATTCAACTCCGACGTTCACGACCGATATGCCTTTAACGGTTTGATATTCCCTTCGGACTTATTCTACCTCCGATTATCAGCTTGTAACCATATGCTCCGTCCTTACGATTGACAGTTCCACATGGTTCATAGTTCCGATAACTCCTTATTCCACATGGTTCATAGTTCCGATAACTCCCTATCGATACGAGCTCCGAACCGTGCCTCCGCGTATATAAACTCCTAGCTCCTGTACTCTAACTCCTTAGTTCGAATATCGACTAAGTTACTCCTCTGCTCCGACACGGACTTAGAGCGCGTAGCGACTCAAGCCTTAAAGCTTGAGTCTGGTCCGTA